CTCTTAGCAAAAGGAGCCAGTGAGGTCTGAGGTCCAAGAGCAGCCAGACCATGCAGGAGACAGAATGTTTGAGGCCTGTGTCATTGGTGAGGGTGGCTGATGGTGGGACATGTGTACAGAGCCGTCGTGGAGCAGATGGCTTCTCTTTCAATGACAGGAAAGGAGTAGAACTGAGCAAGAGGGATTTTATTCCATTGAGTGTTTCTGCAAAGAGACATTTCCAGAAGATGACTCTGTCTCTGGGTATTGAACTTGGAGGAGACCAAAGGCAGGTGGTAACCAGGAGGCTACAGCAAGAATCCCAGGTGAGGTGATGGGGCTACCAACGAGGCAGAAAGGCTGGGTGTGTGTTGAAAACCAGCTATATATTAAATCACAGAATACCATTTCTAAAGCTTGTCGCCGATGTGTCTCTGCTTTCCAACAAGTAAAACTATACACATATAAACTATAGAACACATTGCCCAATATGTAATACCTGAAAGGCATGTACATATTTTTTAAACATCTATATACTTTTTTTCTTTCTATCTTTGTTTTAGACAATCACAGCTACATAAAATTGATTCCGTGTCAGCATTGAATACAAGCACAAATTAAAGTAAAATATATTGAATTAAGAAAATAAATATTTCCCCCCTTGGGTAACCTTTTATTTTTTTTCCAAAACCATTTTATTGGGATGAACAGAGATAACATATCATCCCATCGTTCAATCACACCAAGCAGCCTTGTACAATTGCTACCACAATCGGTTTCAAAACATTCTCTTCCTTCGTGAACTTGACATCAGCTCCCCTTTAGCCCCGCCCTCCACTCTACCCCCAGGAGCCCTTAGTCTACTTGCTGTCACTATCGGTTCATCAACTCTGGGTTTCATATCCTGAGAAACAGAAAGCTGATCACAAACATTCAAGGGGGTCACCTCCAATGACAAAATACATCTGAGATAACCCCCAATATGACAAACAAGACAAGACAGAAAATGCTGAACACCGTATCGGGCCCAACATGCATCGGAGAGGGGGATCAAGTGAGTGTCTGAGCGGCGCTATTTCCACTGGTTTTCTGGCCTTTGAACAAGGAGCGATGTGAGTCCCAGACCCTCACTTCTTTCTAAGCGACTGGGGGGAAGGAGCGTGGCTTCGTTGACTGTGACGATCCATTCAGAGTTGAGTTTATTTTGATCCAGAGTGCTCTCCTGGTTAAACAAACAGCACTCAGAACCGCACAGGCTGCATTTTCTAGAGGAAGCAGGCCCCGCAGAGAGACGCACAAGGACTTGAGCTCCCGCCGGTCTTCAGAGGTAAACGTGGAGGCTGTAAAACCAGCACATCCTCTGTAAGGCCAATGTAACGTTTAGATCTCAAAATTCACCATCAGTCAGCCTTCTCCCCAAGGGCTTTGAGATATAACCTGATCTTTGAACAGGCTGTCAAGGTGGCCAGGGCCTGTCAGTATTTTTTTTTTAAAGCCAGATGTCTCTAAACTTAAAAGGATGCTGTGATTTGGGGGATAAGTAAAACCTTACACTGCCAGAAACCCGTTTAAATGAATGGAGACCGACCATTTTCCAGTGGCCTCATGTCGCTGCATGCAGGGAGCCTGGTGGACACGCAGTCCTGCCAAGACCTGGACCTCGGCCCGGCGGGGCTGCTCAGCTCTGAGGCCGGAAGAGCCTGCGCCGGCACCAGCCCAGCCCAAGCCCACTGCCCACGAGGCTGGTGGACGCATTGGGAAGCAGCCCTCACATTCGTGCACAAAATTAAAACCTGTACATTTTTTGAAGTTTCAAAATTGCTCGCGGCAGACCGTCCTCCGGTACCCAGTGGATAAGATAGATGGAAGGTGTAGGGGTCAGGCTAATGAGGAAGGGAGACTTTTCCTTCCACCCCTTCCCTGACCAGTAGTCCTCTGGGTGACGTGAGTGGTTTGCCCTCAGCTACTGATCCCTAGTGGTGTAGTGGTTACTCATTGGGCCGTGATCCTTGTGGGCAGCAGTTCAAAACCACCAGCTGCTCTGTGGGCCTAAGACTAGTCTTTTGACTCCTGTAAACAGTTACAGTCTCAGAAACCCTTGGGGGTGGGGCTCGCTATGAGTCAGCATTGACTCGCAGTGAGTTTGGTTTGAGTTTACTAACCAAGTCTAAAAAGTCAAAACCATCCAGTCATTTCAGACTCGTGAGGACCCTGTGTGTAACTGCTGTGCAGGGGGTTCTTGTCTGTAGTCTGTAGGTGGGCTCAAACCACCACCCTTTAGGTTTTGCCTCCCCCACCTCCCCCCAGTACTATTAACCATTTAACCATTTGCATCCACCGGGGGTAAGGTGAAACGCACCGCTGGGAGTTGATTCTGACTCACAGCAACCCTTTACGGGGTGATCAAAACTGCAGCTATCTTTCTGAACGTGTGGTTAACAGTCCACGGTGTAACCCCCTACCCACCAGAGCTCCTTAGGGTAAGGTTACAGCCTTTGAAAACCCACCAGAGCAAAGCTCTACCTGGAGCTGCCGCAAGTCTAACTCTGCCCATGACAGTGGGTGTGCTTTGACCTCTGTGCCCACTGCTCCGAAGCGTTCATTTTCTGAGCTCCAGGAGCCAGTTTCCACTCGGCTAATTCTCAACGGATACCACAGCATTCATGCAAGTGGTCTTTCCCCCCTTAACACTGCACTGTGCCCCCCTTAGACCCAACATAGGGCCTGGTACAAAAGAGAATTCTAACGGATAATGAAAGGGGATAGCAGAGAGAAATAATGTGTGCAGGGAATGAGGCAGTAAAGAAAAGAAAAATGATTTTCCCATTTGTGTTCTCTCAGATGACCAAGTGATTGTTGTTGGTTTGAGACAGGGAGTTGGGCTCCGGTGTTTCACAGCCGCGGGAAGCAGAACAGATTTGGGATGGAGGAGCAGGCGGCTACTGACATCCGATCCTCAACCAGCCTTCCCGCTTCCCAGACACGCATCTCTTCTCTAGGTCTCGTGCATTGGGTCCTTGTGTGGAAAACGCATTTTATTTATGGAGGAAGTTTTCGACCTTCCCAAGGGCTTCTACTGATTGGCTCACTGCAAGATCAGCAATTGGAATGCCCCAGAGGCTGCTGGGATGAAGACCTGGCAGTCTGTCTTCCTAAAAGATCACGCCCTAGGGCAGCGGTTGTCAACCTGTGGGTCACGACCCCGTTGGGGGTTGAACGACCCTTTCACAGGTGTCGCCTAATACATCCTGCATATCATATATATACAGTACGATTCATAACAGTAGCAAACTTACAGTGATGAAGTAGCAACGAAAATAATTTTATCATTGGGGGGTCATGACAACATGAGGAACTGTATTAAAGGGTGGCCGCATGAGGAAGGTTGAGAACCACTGTCCTAGGGAAAACTGTGGGGGCAGGTCTATGCGGTCACCTCTGCTGCGATAAGTCAGAGTTGACTGTCTTATGGGAGTGCTGCTGGTGTCAGAGGTGCTGCGCCTAACTGCAAGGGCAGCAGCTCATACCCACCAACCATTTCCCAGGAGGAAGACGAGGCTGTCTGCTCTCACGGAGATCACAGCTTCAGAAACCACAGGAGGCCATTCTCCTGTCCCCCCAAGGGTCCTCTGAGTGGAAATGTACTCCAGGGCACTGGGGTTTTCGTGGGACAGAGAGTCTTTATGGGTTCCAACAACAGTAAGCTTCCAGGTGCCTGGGGGGTGGGCAGGGGCTTCCCTCTCAGCAGGGAACAGATGCCTAGAGAGGAAGGTCAAGTGGGTGGCTCCCAATAGAGGCCTGTCCAGAGGGACCACACACTAGTCCATGTGTGGGGCCAGCCTGCCTGGGCTACTTAGCAAGTAGCAGAGCGCCCACACACAATAATAAAGACATCAGAGGGCATGTGCTGTCACCCGCTATAGACCCTGAGTCTGGGCTAGTTCACCCAAGGCACCCATAGACCTTCCCTTCCTGAAAGCAGGACTTCCATATTCCTTGTTTGGGCAGTTTGTTTTTGTTTTGTTTTCCTGGCCTTTACCTAAAAAATAAATTGAAAAAAATTTTTTTAAATCCTCTGCCTTTGCTGGGCCAGACAGAAGGCAGTGAGTGTATTAGAACCGCTCGGTGGCCTGGTAGACATGTTAGAACACCTGACTCCATGCCAGGACACCACAGCTTGAGCCCGACCGAAGAGACACGTGTTCTGGGAGGAGGGGAGGCTGGCTGTGGCTGCTATCAGTAGCAGCCTGCTCCTCCATCCCGATTCTGTGCTCCTTCCTGTGGCTGGTGGCTGGTTTAGACCTCCGCCACCCCGTGCTATTCTCCATGGCCCTCCCGCCCCATTGTTTCCGTTCTGCACCTCTGACGGTACTCGTGGTGACTCTTGGCTCTGTGAGAAATCCCTTTATGTCTCCCCAAAATAACCTCCGTCCTGTTCCATGTTTAGTGGGATTCAAAGGTCCACTCTGAAAAAGAAAAGCTTTTTCTTTTTTCTTTTTGTCAAAAGAAGTCAGAGCGGAGCTTCCCGCGGAGGCCGGTAAATGTGTGCTGGAAAGGGGGCTGGGGTGGGGGGGTGGGGGGCAGGCTTGGTAGCCCTGGATCTAGGTTCTCCAGTCAACACGATGGAAGCGCATGCAGCAGCAGCCGGTGTGGGGAGAGAAATCTGCCCTCGGCTTCGACCCTGCTCCTTGCCAGAGGGTGCCCCAAGAAGCCACACCCTGGGAGCACCAGCTGGAGTATCTCAGTCAGTCTGCTTGCCCGGATCCCAGGCGCCACCAGACCCCAAGCCCGGGGTTCCCAGCCTGGGTGAGGTGCCTGTGTGTGCACACACGGGTGAGCCCCCCCCCACCCCACCCCCGCACACTCCCCCTAACGGTGCCCGCGGGGGCGCCTGCCCCGCTGTCACGTCCGTAGGCACGCTGGGCGAGCGCACCGCCTTCCGTTCTTTCCAGGACGGTTTGCAGAGGGGCCTCCGACCACTCCCCACCTGACGCCGGCCGGTGTGTGTTTCTGCCTTGCAGTTCTTCCCGTACGGCGACGCCTCCAAGTTTGCCCAGCACGCGTTCCGGACCTTCGACAAGAACGGCGACGGCACCATCGACTTCCGAGAGTTCATCTGCGCCCTGTCCATCACCTCCCGGGGCAGCTTCGAGCAGAAGCTGAACTGGGCCTTCAACATGTACGACCTGGACGGCGACGGCAAGATCACACGTGTGGAGATGCTGGAGATCATCGAGGTGAGGCGGGGACGGGGCGACCCGGGTGGACCCCAGACCTGGGTTGTGGGCGGCACAGAGGTGCATATCCCACACAGCAGCTTCCTCCTCGGGGCTTCCTCTTTTGGGCCCCCGGCAAGATCCATGCTAGTTGCACGCCAGGCTCCTGCACCCCTCTTTATTCCTCTCTCTGCCCCCCACCTCCACCCCAGTGCAGCCCTGGGAAGGCGCAGAAGCTGATGATTGGGCCCTTCCTGACAACTGACAGTGGGCATTTGAAGCCGCCCAGCAACCCCAGTGAGATCTTGACCTCCGGGGACAGGGGATCCCATTCCTCTGGTTCTGGCTTAGCTTCCCTTTGTGGTGGTCTCCGTCATCCTGGAGAGCCTACGGAGTTAGGCACAGCTCGCAGGCTCCCATTTCGGGCTCCCACCAGCCAGAGAGGGCAGGCACCATTGTTACGTGCCTTGGTTAGTGACCCAGCCCTCCTGTGTCCCGCCTTCTTGACTTGCTTCTAACGCCTGGTCCTCTTCTGCTTCCTGTCCCGGGCCCACTGTCTCTCTTCCAGTTGGCCTATGCTTAGCTTCCAGCGACACCGCCCTGCCCTCACCCCCTAGATAGCAGTGCCCAGCCAACTCTCGCGGGGATTTCTCACTGCTGCCCCAGATTACCTCATCCATGGGGCTGTAACTCCCCAAGAAGAGTTCTCTCCCTGCTCGCTGCTGTAGCCTCCAAACCGAGAATAGTGCCTGGAACCTTGCGGGCACTCAGCAGGCCATGACAAACGAGTCCATGGCTTGCCTTTGATGGGATGTCTTAAGGTATAAGGAGAGAAATGAACTAAGTGCTCAATGTTCCCTCCCCAAAGTTGGTGTGAAGGCCCATGCAGACCACAGGGGCAGAGACTTGGGGAAGGGTGGGTCCCCAAAGCCCAAGCAATTAAAAAAAAAAAGCGACCCCCCCCCCACACACACACACACACATACATCCTACACAGGACTTCTTCCTTCCCAACTACCTCTGGGAAAGATCTTTTTCCTTCTCCTCCTCCCTCTCCCCAACCCAATCAGTTCCACTCAGATTAAGCACCCGAGCATGCCTAACCCCCACCCCCACCCCCAAGCACTTTCGACCCTCGTGGGGGGGTGTCTTGGACGGGAAGCCTTTACAGGAGCAGACAGCCTCATCTTTCCCCCGAGGACCAGCGAAGCCCGCAGCGAACAGCCTGATGTGAAATCGCTGCACCCCGCAGCACGCCCAGGCCTCGTAAACTGGTATTTTAGTTACTTCTATATTCACTTCAGTCAAGCGCACGCTTCCAACAGCTGCTGAGAAGAGCCTCAGTATAAACATTCGGCAGGCGCGGTCTGCTCCTCGCTCTTGAATCCTTTGTCCACCAGCCACACGCCACTGGACTCTGTCGGAAAGCCCCTGTGACTTTCCTACGAGAAAGTACTCCTCTTCGACTTTCTGCCACTTCCCCCAAATTCTCCTCCACCCTTTGACGGTGTCCTTCAGCGAAGACCACCAAGAACACCCTGCAGCTGATGCACGTTGAGTGTTTCCTGGGGTTCTCAGTGCTCTCCGTTGCTGGGGGTTCAGTAGGAGGCAGGGAGAAAGGGTTGATGATAGGATTTAGGCTTTGGTAGAATGGTTTGGAGTCCCTGGGTTGTACAAACAGTGAACATGTTCTTATGTGAGACTGGAACCCCTGGGAACCCCTCAGAAGAAAGGCCTGGCGGTAACTGAAAATCCTACAGAGACAGTGTTACTCTGACTCCCATAGGGTCACCACAAGTGGCAGTCAACTCAGTGGCCATTGGTCTGAGGTGGTTGGTGTAGGGTAAGTCGGGGAGGGTCAAGGAAGCAGGGTTTTCTCAGAGCATGAGAACAATTCCGTGAGGGGGTAGCTCGGGACATCTCGCCCAGAAGGAAGGCAGACTAGATTGAGAATGAGGCTGTCATCTGTAAAGAGCAGGTCGTATCTGTGTTCCAACGCGTTCACGAAGCAGTCGTATTTTTGCCTTGTTTCATCCTGGTGACAGAAATGCTATAAAACTGTGTCTATTCCACGGAGAATTTGGCCAGGCTGGCTGCCTGCAACCCCAGGGGCTGTGTTTCTTTTCCTCTTCCTTTGAGGATCTACCTGGTTCCACTTTCTCCTCATCTCTCCATTCCCAGAGGGGGATCCTCAAGCGAGGCCCTCGCTGGCTGACTGTTCACCTGGGGATGTTCACCTCCTCCTGCCTCTGGCATAAAATGTGGTTTCATGATTTCCTGTAGTATGAGGTGGGGGGGGGCAGTCCTCCACTACTACCCTCTGGTTCAGTAAGCACAATTGTACAGTTGAGATGTATATATATTATATTAAAGTCATCGAGAGCATGAGCGATAGAAGAGATATTACAATAATGCGGTCAGACATATTTCATGGTAGCACTGCTCACCTCAGCCCCGCTTGGTGGTCTTCATGGAGAGAGGGGGAAGGGAAGGAGGACAAGGGAAAAGGGAAACAGAGGACGGGAAAGGAGAAGGGGAAGAGAGGCCAGGGAGGGAGAGACCAGGAAGAGAGACCTCTATTGCTAACCCAGGTCTATATAAATTTGGGGGGCGTGTAAACCCCCTAATTACAGGTAAAGACATGCATCACAGGAAGGGATTGCACTATAGGTAGTACAGCAATGAGAGGGGGTGGTCTAGGGACATACACGCAATAGGAAGAGGAGGAATGGGGGGAGATACATGTGACAAGATGGGCAGATCCTAGATTTAGGATGGCAGCTTAACTTAGCTGGTTTGACCTGTTCCCTGGCTCAAGGGACAGAGACCCCCATTATCGGTAGGGTGTAAACTCTACCTACAGGAACCAAGCTAATGGTCGCAAGCCTCAGGGAGAAATAATCCATTGTCCCCAGCAGCAGGGCGCAGGCCCACCCCTGTGGTGGGGCAAGACTGCAGTCTAGGGTTGCCTTCAGGGAGGATGTAAGCATCTGACCTCCCCCCACAATTTCCTATTTGGCTCCTATACACTGAATGTAGGTGACAGCACAGCGTCTACATCTTGCTGCCTGTGAAGAGTGCTGACATTTGACATTACAGGCTGGTAAGAGATGTGTGGCTTAGATTGATCTTTAGGCTTTGTTAGGGGACAGCTAGACTAGCCTGATCTTAGGCTTCGTCAGTCCCGTCACCGAGGTGCAGCCATGCCAGGGTCTCATTGAGTTCCCAGTGAGGTCTTTGCATTCTGACTGGTAGGACCTTGAATGCTTCCCACCCCCATTTGTGCTGGAAATCACTCAGGTGTATAGTTCAAGGACAGGAGATAAGTTGAACCAATGAGGTAGTACTAATAGACCTTTCCAGAGCACTGAACACTAGGGCATCTTACTGTTTAGAAGCCAGGGACAGAGAGAGAATGAGAGAGAGAGAGAAAGAGAGAGAGAGAGAGAGAGAGACTAGAAAGGAAAGACAGAAAAATTTCAAAGGAGAAGGGAGCATACAGTCTTGTCAGATACTATGGCTAGAGGAGGTAAAATTAGTAGCAGTATTTGACCATTAAATCTAAGAACCTGAAGGCCATTAAAACTAACCAAGTTGGTTAGTTCCAGGGGAGTAAACCAGTTGGCAGCAAGCCCACTCTGACTCATGGTGACCCTGCTGTGTGTCAGAGTAGGCTTGTGTTTCATTGCACTTTCAAGTGCTGGTTTGTCAGCAGTAGATAGCCAGGCCTTTCTTCCAAGGTACCTCTGGGATGACTTTCATCAGCAACCTTTTGGTTAGCAACTGAGCCTGTGCGATGCTTGCACCAGGCCGGGACTCCTTACAATGGGTGGAGTGGTCATGGGAGCTCTTCCTGCAGCAGCCTGAGAGGAACACGGTCTACAAAACTTCTTTGTGGAGGTTTGGACAGAAAGAGAAACAGGGCAGTTGTCCTTCTGTGAATGCCCCAGGTAACCCACGGAACCGCCCAGGAGAGCCGAGCTGAACTAGAAGGTGCCCCCTGGTGTGAACTGCAGGACATGCTCAGTGTCCTGTTCAGAAACTCCACCATGGAGTTTCGCCTGGGCACACCATCCAGTCTCCAGCCCCAGCCCCAGGCTTCTTGTGTGCACCTTCCCTCTCTTGCTTGCTCCCCTCTAGTCTGCTCTGCCAGTGCTAGCGAACTCGGCTTTCCCAAACGTTGGGTGTTGTCTCCTTCAGTCCGAGAGGCCGCTGTTGGGCTCCCCCTCCTTGCGCTGTGGTCAGGCAGAAAGCTGGGGGTGGGGGGATGGGGTTGTCCCTGCTCTGAGCATTCTGAAGTGATTCCCTTCTCTCAGGCACCACAATGCTTCATGCCCAGTTTTGAAGTCTGCCAGGAGCCGCTGCTTCATTTTTGTCCAGTATCCCCGTTTGCAGAGGGAAGACAGGTCCCCGGCAAGGCCGCCCATCATGACTGGGGAGCCTTAAGGGTCCACCTCTGGCATGGACTTTGAGCACACAAGCTCCCGTGTTTTCATGAAAAACAAATAAATAAATATGAATAATACATACCTATCCCACCAGTCTGTGGTGATGATGACGTGAGATAGTGTGTAAAGTATTCAGCACTCTCAGAGTGGTTTGCAATACATGGCAGCTACTTCTTGGGACTCTGTCTTCTCCCTTCAGTTTTGTTCTGTCAGACATTTTCCCTTAGAAGCATCATTCATTCAGCTCTGTGTCTCAGCAGCTGATCAGCCCACCCCAGGTTCTGCCCCCTTCCTCCTTGTGCCCCTTCTTGGTGCGGTTTCTGCGCCTCTACCTGCATCATTTTCACCAGGCTCTTGTCACCTGCACCATTGCTTTCTTCCCGGCCACCTGGCTCCCCACCTCGGAGCCACACGGTTCAGTCCACAGAGCAATGCTCTTGAAGTGCTTTAGCCACTGCCAATCCCGTGCTTAAAATCCTTAAAATAGTTTTCTGCTAATGGAAAAAGACATCATCCCAGAGCAGGTACCACGGTCCCTGGGAAGTCCATCTGACCCAGCTGGCTTTAGCACTAGCAGTGTGTCCCTCCACTGACTCCTGACCACTGCACATCCACCACCGGACCCTGGTCTTCCTATTGTTCTTGTCACTTAGAATCCTGTCACCTGACCCTGTGTCCAAGTCCTCATACCCTTCAAGGCCTAGGTCATCTCACGCCACGGGAGGCGCCTTCTCCTTTCGATTCACTCCAGAGGGCTCCCCTTTTTAAACTCCTGCTGCTTGAAGGTGCTGGGAGACACACATGAACAGGCACCTGGGGGGTCCCTAGAAGGGCTTCCCGGCCAGGAAGGGCAGTGTCCAGTTGAGTAAACCGGTGGCGACAATAGAGATAACAGGAGGGGTGTGGGGGGGGGGGGGGGGGGTGTGAGAACGGCAAAGGGTCCTTGTAGCTCCACTGAGGGAGGTCTTTTAGGAGAATGAGACCTGACCTGTCTCAGAATGGGTCACAGGAAGAAGAGCATCTCAGGCAGGCAGGGCGAGCCTCAGGCCTGGCTTCCTCCCCCTTTGCGTCAGTGGCCCCAGAGGGACCTGCCGAGCAGAGGCATTATGGTCAGTCCTCAAGGCCTCATTGAAGCGGCTCAGTAAAGCATGTACAGTAACATGTCTGATTTTCAGAGAGGATAATACTAAATGTTTTGATAACCTGCTAGGAGCTCCCCATAAGTGCCAAGAGGGATTCCTTAGATTCGGAGGGGAGGGGGGCTGTTCATGTTTACTTCTAAGTTTGGCGTGACCATGGCCTGAGATGGCATTGAGGGCATATAGGCTGCATCTGGAATAGTTGTTCTCAGTTGGCACAGTCCAGGTCCAGCCCCGGGGCAGGGCTGTCATGCCAGGGCCTCTAGTCAATTCTTCCTCGTGGCAGCCCATGCATGTATAACTCTAGAGCATAGGGTTTGGTGGTGTTTTTCTCTTTTTATTGTGATTTGATCACAATAAATCTTATAGAGCGAACTGATTTGCAAATCAACAACTCATCTTCATTTTCTATAGTCTTGTTACATAGGGTTTTGAAAGGCTGACAACGTGGAAGTGCACCACCCAGACTTTCTTTGGAGGGGTTTCCGTGTGGACTCAAACCTTGGCTCTTTGGTTAGCGGTCAAGGGTGTTCCCATTTCCATCACCCAGAGACTCTGCCAGGAGTTGCTTGTTGAGGTCCAGGTTGGGCCTCTTGGGCTTGCCGGTCTTATTACTCTGGCTGTGTAATTAGTGTGTCTGCATTATTGGCTGGCTTTATAGCCATTGTCTCATGTAACCCCAGGGATTTTTCACCTTTCAAGGGGCAGTTGACAGACAGGTGCTCCATTGGTCCTTTTGGCCAAGTTCCAGGTTTTATGCATAGTCCCCGCCCTCCCTTCCCTCCGTAGATATACCACTCTGATGCCAAGGTTACTGTGGCCCCTGTCTGCTTGTGTTCGACAAAACTGGACAATTCAATGATCTGCTTCTTTTAAAGTGCCCATGGACTGTCCTCTGCTCCTCCAACGACGAGTGGTCCAAAGAGAACTCGCCATGTTCTCTCTGACCCCGTCCCGAATCGAATCCATTCCTCTTCATCGTTTGGCCACGCTACTCTGTCCGCCCACTTCCTCTAGGCAGTTATTCAAAACGCCTGTATATCTAATTGGACACAAGACTCAGGCACATTTTTCATTGCTCCCTCTCTTATCTAACAGCCTTTAAGGAGTCCTTCCAACTACATTTAAATCCTTGATCGGATCAGAGGAGAACTTGATGGTCTAATTCTTGTTTCCCTCTCTCCACCCTTGCCTCTCATCAGCACCTCATGAGACCGGCCACCTCTTGCTTCTACCACCCAAGCACGTTCAGTGGATTTTTGTCCCCATTCAACAGATTGTGACTGAAGCCCTACTGTGTGCTGGGTACTGGGCCAACCTCTGTAGTTTTAGGCATAAGAAAAAGACCCATTAACTCTTAGCTGCATAAATACACTCTAGTGGGGATGACAAACCAGTTATTCTAAAAAACTGTGAGGTGTCTTCTTATGAGTGCAGTAAGATGGGGTGCTTCGGGGACTGGAAGCCCAGAGAGTGACCTTCCCCTGGGGAGAAGGGACCCTTCTAGAGCTGCCATGTCTGCTGAGGCTTGGAAGATGATCAGGAGCTAGTGACACAACAGGGGAGCGGGATGAGTGGTCTGTTCTCCCGGGTCTCTGATGTTCCTCTGCATAATGTTCTTTCCCCCAGGCCATCTACAAGATGGTGGGGACAGTCATCATGATGAAAATGAACGAGGACGGGCTCACCCCCGAACAGCGAGTGGACAAGATTTTCAGCAAGATGGATAAGAACAAAGACGACCAGATCACACTGGATGAATTCAAGGAAGCTGCAAAGAGCGACCCTTCCATTGTATTACTTCTGCAGTGTGACATTCAGAAATGAGCTGAGGTCAATACCATGGACTACACAAAAAGTCTCTATGTTCCATTCAGTCTGCAGCTATTCACACACACACACACACACACACACACTATGCTTGGACTACCTATAAATGGACTTGCTTCTTGTGTTTGAAACACTTGTGTGCATGAGAATGTCATTTGCTAATGAATTTTAAAAGCATATGTTATAAAACAAAAAAACCTGCCACAATGTGATATGTGTAATATCATTTCATTAAAAAACAAAACAAAACAGACCCTCTTTCTCCAAATCCTGGGCAGAATATGTGCTGCAAAAAGTTTTCTGATTTCTTGTTCATGTTTTGCTAATGCTCGTGTCTCCTTGATTACATACTGTTCGTGGGCCCCAAGCCTCCCACAGTCATGTAACTTCTCAGCTGTGTCCCCATGCTCCTGTACAACAGTGCTAAGCACACAGGCAGAGGGGCCCTTGCCTCCTGGGTCTGGTCTACACCCGAGAGCTTGTATTATCTGTGACTAGAAATGTACATTTGCATGCCTTTTAGGTTTGCCTTAATTCTTACCTCATTTGCATCCTATCAATCTGGAAAGAGCTGTGTTGGATGAATACAGTATAAAACCTTAAAACCCTGCTAAAATGACTAATTAAATCTATCTATCAATACATATATACAAAGATATTATTTATTGGAAGTGGGAAAAAAGTAAGATGATGATGTATTGATTTCTGTTTGAATTTTCAGAGGCTCCCAAAGAGGCTGTAATATATATCTCAAATAAATTTATAACATTTGACATCCCCCCCAACTCTTATTGTGTAATTTGAAGTGTACGACGGATATTCACAATCATCAAGGATTGCTTTTAACAACAAACTAAATCTATCCTTAAAACACACAACTTTGGAATTTGACAAATTTGGTGGCAACGAAAGGAAATAAGACACAGCAGCATTCCAGCTCTCCAGCATGGTTCTCAAAAGAGTGACAATTAACAGGGGACAGTTAGCATGTGACGTTTAAATAAAACATCACATGCCCTCCTTCTGAAGACAGACTTATTTAGGGCAACTTACCATATATACTTGAGTATAAGCCAGCCTGAATACCAGCCAAGGCACCTAATTTTACCATAAAAACTGCATTAAAAATGTGCTGAAAAACACAGCTTATACATGAGTATATACTTTGGTGAAGAAACCCGTAGGAAAGATGACGTGTTTGTTTCCAAACCAAGGTTTGTATTTGGGAAACCTTCCTCCCTGGGGAAGTTCAGATTCTTTATAAAGTGTTAACCAAGAGAACTGGATGTGATGAGGGAAATGTGTTCCGTCTGCTCTGACCACTGACTGCATGAGACAATGGAGCACTCCGAATGTGGTTAGAGGGCAATTGGAATTTTAATTTCATTTCATCTAAATCTCTGCATGATTTAAATTAGGCTCTTAACGATTATAGCAGACAACAAATGTGCCCTAATTGTGCATTCCAGTGCTGTTTACTGAGTGCTGCTTTCTCGCTGATGACGTCTCCTTGGTCTGTTTCGGAATAGGAGATGAGGCCAGGGATCCGGCCCTAACGATTCCAGTCATTCATTCAGCGAGAAACCATGAGCAAACACGATCCCCTACAAATACCGCCTTAGTGGTACCTGAATCACTGAACCCAAACTCCAACTCAGGGAGCACAGCCCTGGTGCTCATGGAAGCTCTTGGTGACCATAAACCCTGGGCTCACGGAGTTGACATGATGGACAAGCCTAAGATGCAAGGAAGAGAAGATCGGGGAGCTTCAGTGCCTCCCGGGACTCTCTCCTTCTCTACTAGGGTGGAGGGGTGGAGGGGGCGGGAGGGGGTGTGGTGGGGTGGGGTGGGCAAGTCCTTAGAGCCTCTTCAGAATGGCATCTGCTCAGGCTCTGATCAGTCCCTTCCTAACAAACCTTCATTGATAACCTAGCATGCACTATGCACCCAACATTCTTGCTTGTGTGTGTGGGTGTGGGTGGGGGGGAATAGATCATAAACAAGCATTAAGTTGTAATGAAGACGGGAAGCACAGCAGGCTGAGCGGCAGAGTGAGAGGGCATCGCAGAGGCAATGTGCACATAAATATTCTTCTCTAGTTCCATGTACTCACGTATCTGATGCATCTATTAATAGTTAGTATAAGTATACACATGTCCCCTAACCCACCATTTCCACCCCTGGGTATGCTGCCCCACACAGGGTCATCAAGGACGTGCCCCAAGGTGCCCACGGCAGCTCTTGGTCCTGTGAGTGTTGGAAATAATCTCAGGGCTCCTGAGGTTAGAGGAGTGGGTAAGTAAACTATGCAACCGCATCTTCAGGCACATGCCACATAGGCTGGCAGCAACAGATTGACATACACACAGCGACACTGACGTATTTGTTGATGGCTGAACGGGGTCAGCGGGCAGGGGAGACACTATTACACAGTAACATAAAACGGAGAATGCATTCTCACCAAACAAAACATGCTCTCTAAGGATACATGCCATTCAAGAAAGCATCACATAATGGTTTATTTGGAGTTAGGTATGAATGGGATGGGGCCAGTTACTATTTCTCCCAGAAACCCATCATCAAACCTAGTGATCGATTTCATGGGACGTGCACTTGAGCCTGTATCATTGCGGCCTGAAGGCCATTCATGATGTTGCAATTTGAGCTAGAGCTGAAACAGAGGCCTGAGAGCACAGGAGGTTGAGTGGACATCGCTTTCTTCCTGTTGTCTCAGGACTTCTCCTCAGGGTGTTGGGGGGGCAGAGGGGGACACTAGTGTGTGCTCCTCCACAACATGGTGATACGACTTACCTGGTGGTTCCAGCTTTTAGCACAAGTATTCCTTCCGACAAGCCGGAAGTTTCCTCGCTTTTTCTGATCTAACCTCTGAAGTCATTTCCACTTTATCCTACTGGTCCCAAGCAAGTCACAAATCCATCCTTCTTCGAGGGGGAATGATGTATCATCTCTGGATGGGGTGTGCCAAGGTTCTAGAAGGAAAATGCTGCAGGGGAGATAGTGCTTTGACCATCTTTGGACAGCACAGCCCCTCCTCCCAGCCATCAACCGCTGACAGACGCTCAGCAACCCCTCGATGTGATCTATACACACCGCTTCCCTAGAAGCCCCCAAAGAAATATGACTATAATGGCTTTAATATAAGTCTTGAGCGTCAAGGTGTCCTCTAAAGAATCCTCCGATGAGCTGCGTCAAGCACAGCATTTTTTTTCCCAAGCACGATTGTTCATAATTCCAAGGTCAGGGACACCAGTGAATAGTTTATCTTCCTGCCCTCTCCACTCAACACCCAGTGGTGGAGCAGCTAGAGAGGAATTATCATGACAAATCTGTTCCAAAGGGCAGACTCAGAAACCACCAGCAGTCCCTAGTCCGTAGCAGTTCGGAAATCCAGTCCGGACCACCTTGCCTGCCGCCTGGCGAGGGCTTGGTCCGACTCCCTGAGGGCTGGTCTCGTTTGACTTCTGAACTTTCTTCCTTTTTGAATAAAATAAGGAGTCGGTGCTCAGAGCGGAGTCGTTTTCTCAGCATACTGCTTACCCATAAAAGTTTAGGAATACAGAGATGTCTTATTTATTTTTGTAGTGTCTCTGGCCCTATCAGTCTAAGCTGATATCATTATTTTCAAAACCTCGTGGGCTTCTTGTGCGTCAGCCTGTACTACCCCTCACTGCCATCGAGTTGACGCCCACTCACAGCTACCCTATAGGATGCGGGGAACCAGCCCGTGAGGTTCGGAGACGGTAACTCTTTATGGGAACAAAAGCCTCTTCTTTCTCCCACTGAGATAGCTGGTGGTCTTGAACTGATGACCTGGGTGTTAGCAGGCCAACACCTAACCAGGACACCACCAGGACTCTCAGGTATCATTTTACATGTCTCCACTGTCAGAAAAGAGCTTACTATAAGGTCGATGTGAAAATATGCTTCTTTTTGGAGGCCTATTATTCAAAGGAGCAGACCTGCAGGGCACACTCTTAGCAGAAGGACTTTTATTGTGTCTGAAAGGTGCTGCCTTAAAGCTGCTAAAGCAATGGTTCTCAACTTGTGGATCGTGACCCCTTTAGGGGTCGAACGTCCCTTTTACAGGGGTCCCCTAAGACCATATTTCTGATGGACTTAGGAACTGAGACACAGTTCCTCTATTCGTCTCCAGGCCACATACGGGGTCACCACAACATGAGGACTGTATTAAAGGGTCGCAGCATTAGGAAGGTTGAGAACCACTTTTCTAACGGTTCTTATAGTCTGACCCTGGATTCGATTTCTAGATAGAAGTCACTTCTTAATTTGAAAATCATTTGCCATTTGGAAGTCCGCCTGGGAATCAAGATGTCCTTACACTTACCTGTTTCCCTCTCGTTTTAGACATCAAGAAACATGCCGAGAGATGCTTTTCATATTCAACTTGGAAATCTCCTTGGCTGGATCACCTAGTTCATTAGGTCCACGCCCTCTCCTTTTATTATCACAGATGGCAGTACTGCCAGCATTCAACCACAACAGAACCAAGTCCTCTCCTTTCAGTTAGGTTGCGTCTTAATCAGAGTTTCCGAGTGTAATTCTCCGAGTTCGGATGTCCCCTGCAGCATGAAGGGGTTTATGAAGAAAGTTAACAAGCTGTAATGCCAGTGAGAAATGCTCAGCCTTGAGTTGTTTATCAGGATGTCTTACCAAGTTCGTTCTGGTCTGCTAGTAAATGTCCCAAAGGGGCAAGCCACTCTGCTGTTGTCTCAACCCAAAGGCATTCAGTTCAAACCCGCGGGTCAGCACATCCGGCTCCTTGCATGAAGTGCCCAGAGGCACCCCCTCCACAAGTCAGTCTCCTGCACACAATCACTCAGCTGAACTTCCTCCGTGCCGGCTCCTGGTCCTGCTGCTGCTCCTCCGGTCTAGTTGTTATCTGGATCCAGGAGGTTCACTGCGCAGGGATCTCAGTTCCAGAGAACGCGCTCTACTCCTGGCATTCCCTGGTAATGAGATCCCTCCTCCTGCTTCTCAGAGGGCTCATTTTATCCACCGCGGGATGGCACTCCAGGGAATCCTGATTGCAATGACTCACAGGTGAATCCGATCAGTATCTTCCCCCACCTTCTGATCAGACCCGTGCAGGGAGAGGTTGTTGGGTGGGAGTTTGAGAGTTTGGCGACAAGAGCCACATTCGATAATTTACAGCCCTGCAGGCCACCTTCTGGCTTCTGTCGCTTTTGTACTGAAGGATTACCTTCCCCTCTCCAAACCTTTTTTTTGCACCCTCCTAAGAGTTTGTAAGCCAGTCACTTCATGTCTTTATCGTCCCCTATTTTCAATATCTAAATTGCCTGCCTCTCACAACCTTGTTAGGCTTGATGAGGCTTGATGTAAGGAGTCTTCATTTCTGTTTGGAACTTTGCAATCTGCTTACGTAAGCAAAGCTCCGTCTACAGCAGGCTGACTTAGAATTACATTTTCCTCTTTCTTTTGGCCTCACTGAAAACATTCTTGACGCTCTGTACACTTCTGCTATAACCCACTTTGGGCTTCCTGGACAATCTGCTCTAGGGTCTTCCGGTCAATGCCACCTGGTTTCTATTTTTATTACAATTTGCTTCATCCAGTTGCTTGCCCCAGTGCAGACAGGGAAGTGCCAAGAATCCAAGCCGGATTCAGAAGAGGGTGTGGAATGAGGATACGACTCAAATCCTGATGGAAAGCAAAGAAACCAGAAAGATGTGTACTTGTGTTTTGTGAACTATGTGTAGGCATTCCAGTGTGTGAATC